GCTGTTTAAATTTGTAGGGAGTGCTTGGCTGGTGAAGTCTGCAGCATTAGGATCCTGAAGGCAAAACAGTTCCTTTAATTCGATAGCTTCCCCACCCCATGTTTAGCTTGCTTTACTTCCTCCCGGTTGAGTAATATCGGAAAATTAAGGCTGAATGACTGTTTAAATGCTTCTTTTTAAAGCCAGCTCCCTGTCTTTTCTTTCTATAGTAAAGTAGAACTGGTTTACTGTAATGGAAAGAAATGAGTAATTATATCCTTACTCTACCCCACAGAGAGAACTCACCAAATCAGATATAATTCAAGCACAATTCATCATTTCTTTCCCAAACTCTGCAAACTACATAAACAACAGATCCTGGCTCCACCTGCCACTGAAAAGCTTTCAATTTCCACTAGAGAGATCTTTGCTGAATGAATTGTACTCACGGGTAGACAGTATATACTAGTAGATAGATCTCAGCTCTAGAAACAATGTTTACGTTAAATAGTGCTATATTAAATGCCCAGCAATGAAAAAAATAACATTGCATAGAACCTCCATTTCCTGAAGCTAACATCTACATCCACAAAATAGTAAGAGGCCAAGCAAGGTCCAGCCTGTGGTATCTGAAGAGTACACTTTCATGGACAACGAAATGTGCCATCATTTGCTTTGCCCGTTCTCTGTCTGTGCTGTTCTTTTAAAAACTGTTCCTATTCTACTTCTAGACTGCTGAGGCACAGAGTTTTCTTCTCTGTTCTATTTCTTGCAGAGCAAAGGTAGTTACTGTATTTTTTATTATTATTATTATTATCATTTCTATAATTTATGACCCTTCCAGGAAAGTCTCGGGGATGTTTTATTGCAACCAGTCTCCTTAGGCTGTTTAAAATATTTTTGAATTATTATCGTTTGTTATTTATATTACACCATTGGCTTAGGGCTTTATCTCACAGCGATCACCATGTGCTGAATGGCCCAGATACAAATAGTCCCTTCTCTATAAAATATTTACCATGTAAATGACTTGAGATGCAGAAGCCACTGAAGGAACGAGACAGATGTTCATGGGTTAAAACATTAGAAAAACAGAAGAGATGGTTCAGTGATAGAAAGACGTGGGGGAACAGACAAGTAAATGTGGGGAATGTCTATTCATGTATAGCTTTGGATGGAAAGCTCAAAGTGGTCCTCCTATTTTATTCTCACATTAAGCTATAAGATAAGTGAAGCTGAGACGTGGGGACTAATCAGTGACCTTCACTGCTGAGGGAGAACTTGAAGTTGGATGTCCTCAGTTCTAATCTAACACTCTAACTGTTATGCCACACTAGCTTTATAATGTTCAGATAGAAGTGTGGGGTGGTGTATGGTTATATGTGTTGCTGGAAAAGATAGAATGTATTATTTAAGAAGCTGATTAACATAGACCAGTTTCATGTAGGAGAAACTAATCGTGCCACTGGTGCAAAGAAGGCCAGCTTCTTCCCCAAGCTCTAAATGTTAACAATTTACAGAAGAGAGAACTTTACAAGCACCCCTGTAGAAATGTGGGCATGTGTTATTGCTGTTACAGAATCTCTTTGCTCTGTGACTCTGTTTTCTAACAGAGAAGAGTTAGGGGGCTGCCACAGTTGCCACCTGAGGAGGTTTTCTCAACCTGCTTCATAATAGGGCCAGCCCTGTTTTTTAACACATGACAACTCCACATGTGGCTCAGTCCCTTGTTTGTATGATCTTAGAACTGCAGAGCTGGAAAGGGCTCTATGGATCATCAAGTCCAGGCCCTGTCAAGGAGGCCCAGTGGGGAACTGAACTCCCAACCTCTGGCTCCACAGCCAGGTACATAAACCACTGAGCTTATCCAGCAACTGCCAGTAATACCAGTCAATTGCAGAAGTAAATCCTTCTTCCATGCAGCAAAAAATGCCAGTGGAAACAGGTTAATCAAGTCCTCTGCTTGTCACTAGTTAATATCTGTTGCCCATGGGTCTGTATTAGACATGGGTACGAATTTAAAAAAAAGGATCACGATATTCGTGGAAAATCGCTGATCCATTAAATATTCATCCCTTCATATTCGTGAGTTCCAGAGACCCCCACGAATATGAAGGGATGAATATTTCCCCATTTTATTTGTCCCTTCATAAACAAACAAACAAACAAAAAACATATTGCCTACCGGCCACTGATTAGCTGATTGGCGGGCTGATAGGCAGCCACCCACCCACACAGCCAGCCCCCCACACAGCCTACCCCACCCCCTT